GCCGAAAGAATGAGGGAAAGAGTTGTTCTTGTTAGAAAAAGAAGAGACAAACGAAAAAGGCGATGAGAATGATCGTTCTTTGAGAATAAAGAAGGCTAAGAGAAAAGGAAGAAGAGGCCAAAGAAAACGCATACGATCAGAGACAAAGAGTTTTGAAAAGAGGAGGCTGAGATCAACGAAGAAAGAATTGAGAGAGGATCTGCGATTTTCAAAGAGTGAAAGGGGAAGAGACATTACACAGGTTTCATGATTTATCACCTTTAGATCTGGAATGTTTCATAGTTGCTGCACATGAACACTACAAAGGTTTTATATGTTGTTCTTGCATGGCTTGGCTATAGCAATTATTCTTCTTCGATCAGGAGTTTAGATGGATTAAATGGTTGAAAATATTTGAGGTTCATGTCTTATGTGAAACCTTTTAATTTAATTACCATATATGTGTCACTAGATGGCAAAAGTGATTTGAGTTTACTCTCTTTAAAAATCAAATATGTACTTGTTTTGCAATCATCCAAAAATTGGTCTTTGTGATTAATTCCTTTTAAAAAAAATTTCACTCTACCTTGTTTGACAATGTTAGCTTCAATTAATGTTGTTTATGTTGTTGATAACTTATGAGGAAGGCATTTTAAAAAAAAACCTACACTTGGTTGTCTCTTAAGCTATAATTAAAAATTGTTAGGTCATTTTAACAATTGAAGTTTAAATCTGCATGAATGTGACCATGTGTGGTTAATAGACATAGCTTCAATTGTCTCGAATAAAATTAATTGTGTAAAATCATATAGGTCTCCATAATCAATTAAAGTAATTTCATATCGTGTAAATCAATAAGATTTTGCAGGCATGAGGATCAATCTTGTACATATTTATTTGAGTTTTTAATGGCCCATCATTAAATTTAACTTTCTTCTTATAACCCAGATTAATAATCCATTTAAGTTCCATGTGAGATTTCAAAAATCTTCGTAGGAACTTAAATTAATCACATTATCGTGTGGGATAATAAGTCATCACAGATACAGCGATTCTCGATTTCTTATAATAAATAAATGACTTTTGTAAATAATCATATAATACACAATTTAGGAAATTAATTAACCAAATTAATGTATTTAAATTGTAATCACATTTACCGATTATATCTTTTAGTCTTGTGAGATTTTTGAATCTTCGTAGACTTATAAGATAATATCGTATAAGTCAATAAGACCCTACAGATATAACGATTAAGTTTATTAAAATATATATAAATTATATATTAAATTAATTAAATTAAGGATGTATTTAAATGAATTTAATTCCTTTATCGCATGAGATTTTAGAATCTCCGCAGACATTTAGGATAATCATATTACCGTATATGCCAATAAGGCTTGGCAGGTATGATGATTAAGAGTCTTTAAAATGTATATATACACACACTTAAAATATATTATCAACACTTAAAATGTACATAGGGATATAAATAAGTAAATTAAATTGCCAAACTTTTTTATCGTGTGAGATTTCAGAATCTCCGCGGATATTTAGAGCAATTGCATTATCGTATGAATCAATAAGGTTCTGCAGGTACTGCAATTAAAATTTCCAATCATAAAACATAAAAAAAAATAATTTTAAACCCTTTTCTTTCTTTATTCCAAAAATTCAAAAATGGAGAAAAATAATTAAAATTAAATCACCTTTTGCAATTTAAAACACACATATCAAAATTTCAGAAATTGTTTTATTTGTAAAATGGTAAATTATTTCTAATTAATTTCTCTTCAAAAAAAAAAAATTACCAACAAACTTATAAACCCAAACTACGTGGACTTTGATCCTCATCACAGGATACGTAGGCCTCAGAGTTAGATTCTGAGTCAAGTCCGTCCTCCCTCGTAAATAAATAAATATTTCTCATCTTTTTTATCAAACACATGAATATAAAAGGGATAATTAAAATAATTATAAAACCATATTAATAGAGCACAACAAATTTCAGGTAACCGTTCTGACGAACGGGTGTTGTGGGGTGCCTAACACCTCCCCACACTCAACTGACTCTCGAACCTATTATCTGATTACGCAGATCATCTTTATCCTCCATTTAATCAGTTTTTCGAGATTTACCTCAAAATCTTAGTGGCGACTCCTCGTTCAATCCGGTTCCCGCCGTGAAGGCTGAGACCTCCACTCGCGCGCCGTCCGCGTCGCATTTTTTCGGGTGCGACAGTCAACATGATCAAACCCTACTAATATGATGACATTGTACAAAATTGATAAACATGGAACGACATTACATAAAAAAAAAAAATAAATTAACAGGTGCATCTGTGTGGAAACTTTTATCTTTACTCTTATTTTTGTTGGGCCAGGGCCCTCCAAACAAATAAAGCAACTCCTGCCAAATAGGTTTTTGCTCCAGGAATAACATTGCGAAGTGCCAATATTGCGCGTGCTAACCATTCAACAAAGGAGACCATGTCCCGTGACGCTGTAAAGCACCATAGCTTACGTCACATAAAATAAACAACGTTGATTAAATATTCCCCTCATTTTACGAAATACTTGAAACACAAATTCAGCCAACAAAATTAAGGCAACAGCGTCTTTTTCGACTTGTCGAACTTTTCATTTTCTTAAAGTATGTTCGGTAGTTATTACCAATCACCAATTCATGCAACGCACTCAAGCATGTGGTTATATATGCAGACACAAAATTCACTAGATCTATAATGAGAAAAAAAAACCCTTAACAAAAAAAAAAATTGATTCCAAAAATTGTATGAGTGAAATAGTTTGAGTTATTGCCATTATATCACCTTTAACAAAAAAAAGGGCGTTATTTTTTGTTTCTAGCTACCGCGGTAAACCTTCAAAATTGTTGCTCGCGTTGCTTACAAGATCAAATATATTGTGACCAGAAGGTTTGTCTAGAAAATGCAATCGGAGACTGTCTCGCTCAACAGGGACAAACGATCTTCATTCATTTGCATTTGGACGGTATCACGGACATTGCAATAATTAAGCACACTTGTCAATACCAAAACAAGTGTTATGCAGCTAAGGTGGAAGACTAAGATTGCTACAGGAACTACATTCTTCGTAGTAACAATTTAAAACCCTTGGAGAGGGTCGAAGATTAGATGGCACCAATAGCACGAGTTGACCTTTCTCTTCCTCTAGTGGCCGTAGCAGCCCACGAATGATGAATCCCACTCGAACAGGCATTCGCGAACAGCATTTAAACCTACACGTCCATGAATAGTAGAATCGTTATGCTTTTGATTGTGGTTCCAATACGAACCAGGACAACTAAGATCTGCGAGGAACCCAAAAAAGCCGCCGTGGTAATCATATAAACGTACTTTGTTGATAGAGCGAAAAAGCAAGAAGCTTTTTATTTGTCAAATACGCGTGCTAACATCCACAAGTTTTCAGTGCCATGAACCACACATTTCACCGTCAATCCATGTTTAATGCCTAATTAATTCCATAAATCCGTTTAAATCTACCGCCAAATTCTGACACAAATCAACAAAACCAGAGGATCAGAATCTCCAGACACCTAATTTATTTCCAGCTCAAAAGTTTTGCATGCCATATAACTCGTTAAAAAACAATAGCAAGGGCAATGGTAAAATGATTCCTCAGCTAAACGAGACGAGTCCAGACTCTAATTAAAGCAGTCGACAATGGAGCTTACGTGAGATGAGGCATTAACCTATTATCCTACATTGAAGCAGTCGACAATCAAGCAACAATTTTATCAACCATGTAGCTTACGTGAGATGAGGCAACTTGAATATAAGGTATTTTAATTTTTTTTTTTAAAAGAAAATGATTCACAAAGATCAGTTATAACTTGCGATTATGATAAACTTGAGTGATTTTGGATTTACATCGGAGCAGTGGATTAATCGCTTCAAGCTGTTCGGGCAGGACATTGGAATTGGGATAAAGCTAAGTACATAAATACTCAATCAACAGCACATTATCAAACTTTTTTCCAAATTAAATAAGCTGTTCGGACCAGCTGATCAACTCAACCATCAATCAATACTATAAGGGCTAGAGGGTTTTTTTCTTGTATCCTCTGGCACTACACATGGCTCCTCACTATATTTACGCTGGTCAATTAATAGTTTCAACACGACGAAGAATGACATGGAATTTTATCAAGGCCATAAGGCGCTATTACCTAGTTCTGTGCTTAACCGTTCAAAGTAATAAAATCAAATATCGAAGTTTCACCCGCATCGAATAGCTAGTAGATTTTCAAATAGGCCAGTATCACACATGAATCTGTAATTCTATATATATACTAGTTCTAACGGACGCCACCATAGTCGATACATTCATAAAAATGCATGCAGCTAAAGGTTGCATTCCATGTGAAGATATGTCAGGTGTAGGGGCAAAAAAAAGAGCCCGTGCTTCAAAACAAGGGGTTCCAATATTCCAAATGTAATTTGATTTGGTTTTCTCACAAACAGATTCGTTTTAGGACATTCCAAACACACCCATTGCAATAACAATCTGATCATATGGATATTTTCAAATTAACCAAAAGAATTATTTTAAGTTTCCCAATAAATATTTCCGCATAATTTCGGTAACAAGAATAAACGGGTTGAGTTGTTGAGGGGAAGGAGGTGGAGGTTCCGAACTAATAATCTAAAAGCTACTCCATCACTCTACTTCATGAACGGGTTAGGATAAATTCACAGACAATTATGATTTTAGTTGGGAATCTATCATCAGAAAACATCTCACCGCCGTAATGTTTTATATGATTAAACCTTTCCAAACCCCAAAGCAGAATTTGTATTTTGCAAAGGAAGAAAAAAAAGAAAAAAAGACCTCACCAACAGAGAAATAATACCGAGGAATAAGGAGAATCAGTGGAAGGTCAAGATCGGAAATTTGGCATCAAGTACTGAATGTGTGAATCTGCTCAACCCATAGCTAATTATGATCATGAGATGGTAATAAATAATGGTAATTCTAAATTTACAAATTCAATCAGCAGTCATTTTCTCATTATCTTTAAAAGCACAGTGAAGATCTTTACATAATTCAAGTTACAGCTCGTATTGAAATAAATTAAACAATTAATAGGAATTCTCATATCTAAAATCTAGATTTAAGGGTCAAGTCCAAAAAACAAAAAATTCTAGATCCAAGGAAAATGCTAAAGAAAAAGGCTTTTCAAGCCTAAAGCAAAGCAATTATGGGGTACATGACTGATGACAAGTAATGCCATGCAATTGAAGCAGAGTTTAAGGTTCAATATGCTCGTTTATGTTATAATAGTATAGCACACTAAATCAACAAGCATGTTCAACCACCAGCAAAGATATGCTATAGCAATGAAAACATACAGATAGAAACATCATGGTGCATGAATTACAGCAAGGCAGCAAATCAAGATAGGTATTATAAGGAACTAATGATAGAGCACAATATAAGCAAAATTACAGTCTGCTCCACGAGTTATTTACAGAACTCCATCGGAACATGGCAGAAGAATCTATACTCCATACCATATGGCTGATACCTAGTTAATATATATATATATATAGATATGAAAACAAAGCCAACTGATGAAACAGTTTTACCAAGAAAAAAACAGTGTAAATGTTCTAATTGGTTCCAGAGATAGCATCTCAGAAACTGTAGTTCAACAGAGAATCTTTCTAGCTATCAAGAATGAACTGATTGCAATACGCAAAATCAGATGCTCTCAACCTGGGGTAAAAAAAAATACGGAGGTGGGCACACTTCCTATGTGACTAGATAGTTTTTATCACACTAGGTCCAGAATCCATGGGAAGTTTTGGCTAACATTTGCAGCAAGGCCAAGCAGAATGTCAAACTTTTATTTACCAAAATCAGTTCAAGTACAACATCAAGTAAAGCAATTGTTATAGAACCTAGTAGTTATATAGAAGCCCCCGGGATCATAATCTATCAAAAAAGTCAAGACATGTTGATAACTTTGAACTTTCTCTTCAAATGCCCTAAGCAAACCAAGAAATCTTTTTCTGAGGATCCCCCTTACGGAACTTCAAATCACAATTATTCCTGCAAATATGGACACTTGCCTCTTGTTCTCCTTGTTTTCGCATCTTTAAAGTTCAAATTCTAAAAGATCCATATTTCCCAATGAAACTAGATGGTTCTTATAATTTCAGATTCAGATCCCACTAATGCTTTGGGCTAATATTTGCAACATGGCTATGCAGAATGTCAAAAATTAAACATGGAGTACATGTATGGCAAAGAATAATTTACACAAACAGAAATATGACCAAAAAGAACACTTCACGGAAAATGATTACTTACAAAAATTCTCATTGTTGATTTCCAGCCCCACGCCCTCCTTGGGTTTGCTGCTGCTGCTGCTGCTGTATTTGGAGGAGAAGACTCGCAGCAAACTGTAGTGTTGACTGGTACCTCTGGTTTTTATCTGCCTCCACTTCTGATGATGTGCCCTGACTGCCTCCTTGGAGAGCAGATTGAAATTGCTGACTTGGAGGCTCTGTGTTTCCTTTGTCTGCTGAATATAGCATAGCAGTTTGTTGCTGAGAAGGGTTAGCACCATGAACTTGATTGGACGAGGAAATAGAAATATTAGGATTCTGAGGAGCCTGAGAACTATATAAAACAGAGGCATCTATTCCATGCACCACTCCATAACCTTTCTGAGAGCTGGAGGAGGCTTCAACTTGATATGATTGATTCATTGGGAGGGATAAAGTTACATGTCCGCTTTGAGAAGGCATCAAGAAGTTAGTCATGGGTCTAGATGAGATAGCAACGTGCTGCTGTAAGCTGGCAGCAGAATCTTGGACATTTGAACTGCCAGTGACCACTTGACCAGGGTGGCCATAAGTAGATGATAATGGATAAGGTTGATAGTACGTACTCCCTGCCTGTTGAAGGACATGACTGGATGGATCTGCAATTTGATGGTCCTGTTTCCAGACATGAGATTGGTTTCCATCATTAGGCACAACCGGAGGGAATGGAGCTTTCATAGTTGAGGAGCCTACTGCTGACTTGGCACCATCAGTGGCAGATGATTGTGTAGTTCCAGGAAGCAAAGTCGCCAGAGTGGCAATAAGCTCAGGTGTTAATGTAACTCCAGGTTGGGTTGCTGCAGCAGTATTGCTAGAAGTATAATCTGAGGGTACAGACTGGACTAAAGAGGCGCCACTTGTAGCTGGATAAAGTGGTTTTGAAGGAACTTTAGACTCATCATGCAACAATCTATTATAATCCATAGGCAAAAGTTCTTCCTCCTTTGCAGGTTTCTGACCATACTCTACTTGAGAAGGAGGAACCTGCTGCTTATCAATATACTGAGTTGAAGGTACAGACAAGGGCAATGGCTGTTGCATTGACGTACCACTTGGCATAGACGGAAACTTAAGAACCACACCATATAGACGTTCAGGCCCAGCAACTTTTAAAACTTTCGTTAAGAAATCAGATGGAGGCACCAAGAAGAGAGTAGTCCCATCAACAAATTTGGCAACACCAGCTCGGTTTTTAGCACCAAGGTAGCGAAGAAATTCAGTGTATGATGCAAAGTCATCTTCACTATCAGGTAGAAAGAAGACAATATCAAAACCAACAGCATCTGCATAATGTTTTGTTAGCATATCCAATCCAGTCCTGGCTGAGCAATCAACAACTTCTGGACTGCAAGGGAGCACAACAAACATTAACCACTTCTACAAAACAGTGCCCAAGACAGAGCTCACATTACAAACACTAACAGTAAGGCCCCAGCATTTAAGGACAAACTAAAGAAAAAGTGTAATGGGCTCAGCCCGCCCCCCTTCCCAAAAAAAAAAAAAAAAAATCCTTAAAGCCAGAAATCAAGATACTATTTAATTTCCTTACTTTTCCTTAATCAAGATACTATTTAATTCACAGGAATATTAAGAACATAAAGATATGAATATGTACTCACAGCTCAGTCCCTATCCCTTTTCCTAGAGGGACACATCTTGCTTGACAAACTGGTGTCCCCCCTTTTGCAATTATCCCACGCCATATGTGATCAATATCAAGTTGAACAGGAGCAAGCACTCCAGTTGAGATCCTTGTGCCCACTGGACCAGGGTGAGCCTTCCCTTGGATGTTTACAAATGGACCAGAACCACCATCAATAACTGGCTCCATCCCATAAGATTGCTCTAACCCTACTGCACGATCATCAACATTCCTTAAAGGAAAGGGAGCATCATCAACAGATAAAGCACCATCTATCCTTGAACGCTTAGAATCCCTCTGAAATTGGTTTATGTCAAGCACATCCCATGCGCTAGATGTGGATCTAGTTGGAGGTCTAATACCCGGTGCAGAATGGAGCATCCCTGCTGCAGGAGGAGATGGCCGATTCCAATTTGGACCCATTTGACTTTTGGAGCTACCATCCTGAAACTTTTGGTTTGTGCCCAATTCATTAAATTCACTGCCTGAAAGCAAAGGTTCAAGGCTACCTTGAGCACCAAAAGGTCTCAATGGTACGTTTGGCCCAACAATAACACCAGGTGGAAAATTATTTGGAACCATTGGACGATTGTGGCCAAACACATCCATCTGTAATGGTCGAAATGTTTGCTCAGTTAGGAAGATGTCAGGTTTTGGTCCTTTGCTTCCAGTGAAAATGGCAGGGTAATCTTTGCCAGGTGCCAACTCACTGCTTGAATACATTATAGTAATCCGAGGATCATTGAAGAGTCGACCTTGAAGACCCTCTTTGGCACGTCGAGCTTCATCCACACTCCTGAATTCCACAAATGAGTAGTGCCTGGAAGGAAAGCTCTTGATTCTCTCAATTTCACCGAATAAAATCATGGCATTGTGGAGCATTTGCTCATCAATCTGAAGAGAAGGAGGATAACCTATCCACAAAATATTGCTGGGTTGACCATCTCCCTTCCTCACAACTGAAGGTTGTGTTTGCTGTGGCAAAATGACAATCATTCTTGACAAAAAATTAAGTAACATAATTCAAAGAAATTACATGCAGGCTCCAAATATTGTTTGTCATCATGCATCAAATGACAAACAGATTTATAAACCAACACAACACAATTACATAAAGATGCTCAGGACTCTCACCAGTGGCCTTTTCTGACCAGAGTAGAAATCAGGAGGGCCCATGATTTTTCCCTGAAACTGTCCATACTCAAGCAACATATCCTATACAAAACTAATGCAAACATTAGCTACTTACCAAGAAAAAACATCATAGCACAGACCAAAAGAATAAATATCTACTGAGGCAACGAAAGCAGTAAAGAAATAACCCAGCCCACCAATCTACATGGAACATAAACGCACCAAGTAATTCTAATTACTGCTTATATAACTCATCCAAAACAATATGAAACCAGTCAGACAATGCTCAAAATCAGAGCAATCACAGTGTTGTTAAAGGCGAAAGGCGCACTCAAGGCGCAAAGTTGGTAAAACGCCTTAGGCGCAAGGCGCTACAAAGGCGCACGCCTGAGTGAAGCAAGGCGCTACTATAGATAAAATGCATAATACATAGATTATAGACAACAAACCATAGATAAAGTGATAAATATAAATCTACTTCAATCATAAACTTCTACAAAATTACAACAAAATAATATAAACTATTCCAATAATCAATCAAGTGCATAAAATGTCTTTAAAATATGAAAAAAAATATTGAGGCCTATAAAAAAATCAAACTAGAAATCTGAATCAGATTCAGATGTGGCAAGCTCAGGACTTTCTCCTCCTTCATTGTTGGATTTATATCTTTCATCGTCTTCCTCTAACTCATCTGAATCAAAATTTGCAAGTTCCTCAATGTTGGTAATCGGTTGTTTTCCTTTAGCTCTAGATGAGCTAGCTTTTTTTCCTTTAGCTTGGCTTTGGCTTCTTGTTTGTTTAATTGGTTCTCCAACACCTGCTGCTGATGCAACAGCCCCCCATGTTAACTCTTCATTCTCATCATCACCAAAAACACGCTCATCTACTGCGTCCTCATCGACATCCATCATACTACCAAGTAGCCATTCATTACTTTCATCAATATCCGCCAAGGAAATGGGATCTACATCTTGCCTATCATATCTATTTTTCAGTGCTTGATTGTATTTCACAAAGACCAAATCATTGAGTCTATCTTGAGCAAGCTTGTTCCGCTTTTTTGTATGAATCTAAGTGGAAAAATCATATATAATAATTAATTATCTTAATATGAAGTGAAGATATGATAAAACATAGCATTGACCTATTTTAAAAAATTGAAATATTTAAATTTAACCTGTTCAAACACACTCCAATTACGTTCACAGCCTGATGCACTACAAGTAAGGCTTAGTATTCTGATTGCCAAATGTTGTAAATTAGGGCTAGAGCTTCCATAAGAAGCCCACCATTCCGCTACAAAGTCATAAAAATAATACATAATTATTTAACATTTTAACTAAATTAGTAAAACTAGGACTATTAAATAACTAATGTGTGATTATAATCTACCTGGAGCTCTTGTTTTCCTTGTTCTAATGGCCAAATCAACCCCAAAAAGTCCCTCTGCTCTTTTATATATTGTCAATTCATTCATGATCTTCTCTTGGGTGGTTGGGTCTTTCACAAGTCTCCCTATGCAAGATATTAGGCCCCTAGTGATTTCTTCATCAAACTCTATATCTGGGTTGTCATAATAATATTCTGGATTTAGGAGATGAGCTGCAGCATGTAAAGGTTGATGAAGTTGGCAATTCCACCTTTCATCAATAATATGAAAAATCTCTCTATACTTATCTTCATTATTATCAAATGCCTTTTGAATTGCCTCTTTGGCTCTATCCATTGCTTCATATATATAACCCATGGCTGGTTTTTTTTCATTATCTACAAGTCTTAGCACTCGAACAAGAGGTCCCATAACTTTTAATATATAAGAAACAGTATTCCAAAAAGAAGGCATAAGCACACTTTCAACCACACGCTTTCCTTTAGGTTCTCTTGACCACTTACTTGATTCCCACTTCTCTGAAGTAAACATAGTCCTCAATGCAGTTTTCTGTTGATGAATGCTTTTAAGAGTAAGATATGAAGTGCAGAATCTAGTTTTGCCAGGCCTCACCAACTCCTTTTGCTTAGTGAACTCTCTCATCATATTTAGAAGTCCTACGTGGTTATATATATACCCTGTCAAATTGATTGCTCTTGCCAAAGTCTTTGATACCCTAGAAATTTTTCCAATGTCTTCTAATATAAGATCTACACAATGTGCTGCACATGGTGTCCAAAAAAGATTCAACCTTTTCATTTCTAATAATTTACCAGCAGCTTTAAAGTTAGACCCATTATCCGTCACTATTTGAACAATATTCTCTTCCCCAACATGGTCAACAAAATCATCAATCAAATTGAACAATCTTTCTGCTGTTTTAACATATGATGATGCATCAACAGATTTTATAAACATTGTGCCAACTGGGCAATTCACTAAAAAATTTATCAAGCTTCTATTTGTTCGGCTAGTCCACCCATCAAGCATAATGGAACAGCCTTTTCTTTTCCACATATCTCTATGATTTTTCATCATATCATTTGTAAGTTCAACTTCTTTCTTCAAAATTGGCACCCTTAACTCATAGTAACTTGGGGGTTTTAGATTTGGACCATATTGTCCAATAGCTTCAATCATAATTTTAAAGGAATCCATGTTAGCAACATTAAATGGAATGCCAGCTTGGTAGAAAAATCGACCAATGTATTGACAAACCATAGCTCTTCTCTCCTTATCAAATTTATCAGTTATATTTCCATCTCGCAACTTTCCTTGTTTTCGTAATTGAATAACTTGCTCTGGTTTCCTCATAAAAGAATCCATGGGACCTTTTTGTCTAGGCTTCTTTGATGTAAGCATAACATTTTTTCCTTTCTTTCCATACAACTCCTCCTCCTCCTCCTCTTCTTCACCATGCATACTTATATCCACAACATTTATAATTGGATTATCATATGTCTCTTTTTCTACCTTTTTTTTGTCTATGTAATCTTGCAACTCTTTCCTCACATTATCAGGACACTTCAAACATTTAGCAGCATTCCTATTACCTCCAACTTGATGCAACTTAGCTCTATGAATCCCTCCTTTTGTAGATTTGTTACAAAAGGAACAAGTTACAGTATTGGTGTCATTTGGGTCACTCAAGAAATTATATTTCCATCCAGGGTCTTTTCTCTTATTTTGTTCTTGTTGCTTGTTTTGAACTTGACCACTACTTTCAGCCATGGAAGCACTAAAAACTGGGGAAAAATACCAGGAAAAACCAAAAAAGAGAGTGAAAAATTAAAGGTTTGTTTTTTGAATAATTGTTCTGTGTGTTGTAGTGCTAAAGGCCTAAAATCAAGCAAATCAAATAAGAAAAATAGAAAATAATATGATGTTTGAACTTTGAAACTTAGAAGTTAGAACCTGATTGTTAGAGTGCAAGATGTGCAAGACGTGATCCTTGGAGATATTGCTCACTTGCTCTAAGCCTCGAGACACACTGATGCCAATACCAAAAAACAGTAATAGGTTTTCTTTTTATATCTTAAAAAATATTCATTGGGAGGGATTTTAAAGTCTTAAACTTTCCTAAAAATTTTCCTTCAGATAGCAAAATTTTCTCAATCATATTTAAAATTTAAATCAAAGATAATTTCTTATAATTAATTAAAATCTTTTTCTATATATAATATTTTTCATTATCTTTTATTTAAAATTCAAATCTTCCCTAATTTATTATATGTTATATGTTTCTCCCACAAGATAGGATAGGATTTGTTAAATCTTTTATAATTATCTCAATCATATTTAAAATTTAAATCAAAGATAATTTTTTATAATTAATTAAAATCTTTTTCTATATATAATATTTTTATTATCTTTTATTTAAAATTTAAATCTTTCCTAATTTATTATATGTTATACGTTTCTCTCACAAGATAGGATAGGATTTGTTAAATTTTTTATAATTATTTACTATATTTTTTTATCATATTTTAATGGATTTTGGTTAAAAAAAATTATATTCTAATGGATGATATTCAGTCCACGATGCTGAACTTATGGCCAGCTAGCATACTCGCACGATACGGTCGTACCCAACTCCTGCTCTTCTTTTCGGTGGAGATACAGTCAGTGGAGTGCAGACGAGTTCTCGTCTCTGATTCTTGCATACCCAGTCGACACCGGCAGCCGAACAAGAACCAACTCCTACTCTTCTTTTCGGTTCTTTCACACCCAGTCAGCATTCTTCACTCCTTCATCTTCCTTTATCGTCTTCTCTTCTGAAATCTTACGTCTTTGTCTTCTCTTCTAATCTTCTCATCTTCACTGCTGCCAGGCGCTGACAGTCGCGCGCCTTTAGGATATGCGAGGCGCACAAGGCGCTCAAAGGCGAGCGCCTGAGGAAACCCATCGCCTCTCTTCACTTGAGAGGCGATGGCCAAGTTCAGCGCCTCGCCCAGGCGCCTTAGGCGCTGAGGCGAGCGCCTTTTACATCATTGAGCAATCATAATCATAAGATAGATAAAATGTAAGTAAAATAGCTCTGCAAAGAGTGCACTCGGATATGAATAATCGGGGAATACAAGAAACACTGTTCCAGATCGCTTCTCATTCACCCAATCATATTCCACAGACCCAATCAAATCTAATACACAGGAGCAGCTTTGAGCAATCGCCAAATGTGCAATAAAACAGGTTATTGAGCAATGAATGAAGTAGAAGGGGAACAAAGCAAATCAACATTATAAAGCAAAAGCTTACCTTTTTTGAGGATTGTGATCGAAGGAAATCTACACGAATTTGGTCGCCACCAATACGCTTTCCATTCATCATTTTCATGGCATGAGTTGCATCATCTAAATTGAAATACTCAACAAATGCAGTGTTGCGGTCTCTGACAAACTTAAAATCCTCAATCTTACCAAATTTGCGGAACTCAGCCTCCAGTTCTTCCTTTGTAACAGCTGGGCTAATACCACCCACCCAAAGTTGTTTACATGGCTTTGCCTGAAAACAGGTTTTTTCACGATTTCAAACACTGATCTTTCATAGACTACCCATAAGCAATTCAACAAAGAAGCAAAGACATAAAAGCAACTTGTTGCTGTTAAAAGCAAATCAGCTAGCTTCAATGGAGCAGCATTGTAATACAGGCTTCAAAGCCAAACTATGCATTGGGGTGGAGCAAGGCCACAGTGCTACTTCAGTAAATTCAAGGTCATTAAATTTTAAATACAACAGTGGCATCTGAGGTGGACCATGGCATAAATCACCAAGGCTAACTACAACGAATAATTAAGATCTCTGTCTATATCATATTCGCATCAATCTTCACACAATGCTCTCAAGCAACATAAACTTTCTTACCCTTCAAAAGGAAGACATATACGGGTAGATGTCAGAGTCATTTCTTCAATCCGTAGTATCAGGACTATGAACTAACAAATATATGCAGGTAAAGTAAGGCAAAGAAGACTCATAAATTCATATATAAGGGGGAACGGCTGAAAAGGAAAAAAAATCAGCTGAACCAATGAAATACAGGCATCTATAAACTGAAGCAGCTTGTAGGAAAAAGTAACAATGTCGAAAAGTTAAATTGTTTGTGACCCACATCAGATCATAGAATATTTCCTTTTGCTAGAAAGTTGGTATATCATAATTTGAGGAAAATAATTATCAACATCTTTTGAAAAGCCTAGCAAAGATACAAGTAAATCTAAAGAGCAAACATTTATCAGCGGTTCAAAGGAGTAAAGAAGCGGACATTGAAGAATCAAAATTTCGGAATGCTTTATTGGTCCAAGCACGCCCAAACAAAGGTATCAAACAACTAACCATTACGTCAGTTTTTTTTTTCCATCTATACTTTGGGGAGTGCTTCAGTCCAATTCCAAAGTTCATTTCATGGTTATAACCGTTCAAAAACTAGCCAGAATCATAATATTCTGACCAAACTGACGCATAGAAGTAGATATATAAAGTTTATACACTATTCATGCTAAAAGCTAAACACTTCAACACTTCAGGAAAACGAGATAATGAGAATTACAGCTGAACTAGCGGTCAGATTCGGTCTATTCCAATAATCTCCATAATCCTTTGAAGCAACTCCATGATAGGATCCAAAAAAGTGTAAGAATCCTCTAGAGTTCTTCACTGAAAAATGCTAAATACAGATGAAAGGGAAAATAGCACAAAGATAAAAGGTGTAAATGGAGTCACTTCCGCTTTTTTCTCCCACATCCTCTCTCTATTCTAACTTCAACTATGTTATAGCTAGTCTCAAGCCCGGATAAAAGAAAAGGATTGTATTAGGCCCTCGATAGCCAACATAAATTTTGTTGAATCTCACATGTCAGTCAGTAGTAATTTGAAAGTAACATTTGAAGATAAAATTACATCTCAAGTGAAAAAATTTAGATATTTGAGAACTATTATTCAACATGATGAAAAAATTGATAATGTTGCACGTAAAATACAAGTGGGGTGGCTTGGTTAGAGAAAGGTTAAAGAAGTTATTTGTGATTGAAAGATGCCTGATAAACTCAAAGGAAAATTTTATTAAACTGTTATAAAACTAGTTATATTAGTGATAGTGGATGTTGAGTTTTAAAGGGGCAACAAGAGTATAAAGTTAGAATAGCAAAGATGAAAATGTTGAAATGAATGTGCGGGCACAAACGAAAAGATAAAATCCAAAATGAGTATATAAGGAAAAAAAAAGGAGGCAAAATGGTAGAAAATTATTTTGAGATGGTTTGAACATACACAAAAAATAAAGTATTGACATATCGCATACATATCATATATGATTTATGTATCGTATTTGTTTATTATATCCTAGAAGCTTGGTTGATGATAGAGTACAATAGCGTCGTACAATTTATGTAACTGACCCCATTTAGTGGGATAAGATTTGTTGTTGTTCTATCCTTTCTCTATTCTCTCTCCAGCCTCCACAAGAATTTTATAATAAGCAACTTGCAGGGAGAAGGATTTGGACTCGAGAATATAGTATAAGTAGTTTTACTTTAAGGTAGGCATAAATTGTTCAACACTGAATCAGACTCAAAAGTCTAATGTAGCCAGACATGATACAGTATATAATGCTAAGAAATTTCTAACCAAGGCTTCCTAAAATACGCACAAAAGATTCCCGTAAGTTTGACGGGTCTCTATTAACAGCTTACCCTTTTGAGTTAAATTGGTTGTTGACATTAGAAATAGAATTGCTTTCAAAATATTGATGATGAAAAACTTTTGAAATGGAGCTGTTCTATCTTATTTGGATGATTCATTGCAATGGAACCTCTATTTTGCAGGGAGAAGGATTTGGACGTCAGAATCTTTTTAACTAATTATAACCAAGCTTTTTTTTTTTTTTTAACATTCCCTTTCAAAAATCTTGTTAAAGAGTCCATTGCTAGACTAACTGAGTTATGATTCAATCACGTATGCCATAAACAAGAAAGTATACATGATATGTTATCAATTTCTTCAACAAAAACAGATCATTGGACATTTTTTTTACTACTCAATACACGACCAATTCTTTCTAATATTAATTCCCCTATTGGACGACTTAAAACAGTAGATGCTCTAAGATTTTCACATAAGTTTTATCTGATTACAAATAGAAATTCAGTCATTAAATTTAGAATAAGCTTAATCAGCTCGTATCAACAAGTCATTAACCTGACCCTCCTGATTCCCCCTTCCCTCCTCAGGCTTCACTTCCCCCCTGATTAAGTGAGATGACGGGTAATGAAAGCTAATGTTTCACTTACTTGACAAAAGCAGCATAGAATCTTGACATCGTGGTAAATATATGGCAATGGAAACACTCCCTCAAGAAGGCAAGAAAGGCCTAAAAGGCTAAAACATTACGATGAGAGAACGCTTCCTGCCATCTTGCCACGGCACCTGACGAGGTCCTTGATTTAGACTACAAATCTAAGATTTTTATGTAAGCATGATGCAGTTATGCAGACCTTCCTGGGCACTCTTTTAAAATTTTTTGCATTACATAATTTACTTAGGCTTATCGCCAATTATTTCTCCGCTGCCAGAATCTTCATGATATAACAAAAAAGCTGCAGCTTCGCAAACCTTACTGAGCACTCTCTAACATTTGCATTAGTTAATACTCTCAGGTTTATTGCCAATTATTTCTCCACTGCTAAAATCTATATAACAGCCTTTAGGGTTTTCGGTTATAGTACTGTTCTTTCTATTACTTTGAAGATATTAACATTTCAGCTGGCTGTTTACTTAAAATGTGTAACAGGATCATATCCTCGCTCCATTGATGCAGGTTTCTCTTCTTATTTTCCTTTTACTTCATTCAAAAGGATGTTCCCTTTCTGACAAATTCTTTTGCCAGAGTAAAATTTTAAAGACAACCTAATTAATAGAGTGGGTGAAGTTGAAAACTAATATCACGTGCATAACCAACAAATATCGAAAACATGTTTAACCATGCAACTAAGTCAACGGCAAAATATAACTAGCTAAGGGTCTGTATGTATTCCGTATGCGTTTGTAAAGATCTATCGTCCTCTAAATTTTACTTTCTGGAAGTTTGAGGTTGATAATAATTAAGGCAATCACCTGAGCCCACAAATTAGAATGTCTGTTTTGGCGAAAAGGAAGAAAAATGCTAGTTTTACAACATTGGATGACTTGAACGATTCACATTAGGCCGCCCATGAAACTATCTTGGAAATTTGGACCACCAGAGAAAGTTCAGCAAAAGTCCGGCTATGTTTTATCTACAACTCTTTTCATTGGCAAACTCCCGACTCAAATATTTTCACTTCAAAACATAAATTGGCTGTCTTTTGCGTTGGAATAAAAATTTTAGAAGTCGAATTCGGGACTCGAGTTTCCTCCAATAAAAACAAATTGGTAGTTTGTTCTGTCTAACAATACTCAAGATGCTTTCCATGTGATCATTAAGTTTGGTCCATGCCTGACGCACCTCGCATGGTAAATTTGAATCCACCCAGCTGAGTCGCTTGAGCTTCAATTTTTTTTTCTTAAAGAACTTGTAGAAAAAGCTAGATGTGATTATGGACGGGTATCGGATTGGAGAATAAAGTTAGATTTGTCATGCCGCGAATCATTTTGGTACAATAGAAAGGGAGAAATTTTAACGCAAATGCGTAAATAACAATACATGAACCCGCAAAAAAGATGAAACCAAAATTAAGCAAGCCTAACCAAGTACAAAGATCAGAACGAACCGGTCTCGCAAACTCAATCTTCATAGGAATTCCGCGCAGAAGGGTGCCTTGTAACGCGTTCTTGGCAGCCTTTGCATCCTCGACGCGCTTGAAAAACACAAAGCCGTAACTCCGAGAGGAATACGAGGTGACGCTATCAAGAGCGCCGTACTGGGCAAAGAGAGCCATAAGATCTGACTCGGTAACCTCGTGCGATAAATTGCCAACCCATAAATTGTTGGAAGGGGTCTCAGGATCTTCGAAATCCTTGAAGGTGCCACCGCCTTCCTGAGCAGCCTTGATTGATTTATTCGGAAGAGGCATTGCACTCCAGAAATCACTAGGGCCAGCCGGACCAACGGAAACCCTAACGAAACCAGAGAGAAAGGGATTTTGTAGAGAGGGTAAAGTGACCAGCGCATCCCGATCTTGGGCACCACGTCAATATATAAATCTTCCCTGTTACAGATTTTCTAACTCTAGAAATATTAATGATAATTAAAAATATCATGTTATTCAAATGTTTTAAAGGATTATATTTTTTAAATTAAAATATATTTTTAATTATGTAATTTTATATAATATTTTAATTTGATCTCTTAATTTTTTATAAATTATTTTTTTAAATTTTTAACTCTAATATTGTTAGTTTTAAATTATTATTTATATCAATTATTGTTATTTTTAAAAAAATTAATTTAATTTTTCAATATTTAAAAATATTTATTAATATTTATAAATTTAATGTAAAAAATTTTGGTGATAAAACTAATAATGTCAAAGTTAAAAGTAGTGTTTTTAAAATCAAACCGACTTGACCGTCGATTACTTTGGTTTATAGGAAAAAATTATTTTAGGGGTTGAGCTATTTTGAACTGGTGGTCGGATCGAAAATCAGAATTAAGTCAAGAATCGGATCCAGTTTTCAAAAACCAGGCCGTTCAAAATTTTTTTTATTTTTTATCAAATTTTTTTAAAAAATGACAAATTTTTTTAATCATTTAATATTATGTTGTATTATGTAACTTGTTAAGTCATGATAAACTTAAAATATTTAATTTTTTTAAATTAAATAGCAATTTCATATATATATATTTATATTTAAATTATTATATACATATATAATTTTTTTAATTTAATTTTTATATCATCGATTGAATCATTGGTCGAACCCGATTTAACCATACAAATCGTGAATTACTGACTTTTTTAGTTCAATGTTCGATTTTCTGAAAACATTGGTTAAAAGGCTAAAAATACACTTTATAAAATTAAGTAATTAGAATAAAATTTTGTGTAAAATTAAAAGATTAAATATATATTTTAACTTATTTTTTATTTATAATTAAAAAAATAAATAACAATAATTATTAAAATTATAGTAGAATATTGTGACCTCCTTTCTATTTTATTAAAATTATAACGATATCCCTCCTAGCTTCAAAACATCCAATTGAATTCAATTTCTGTCAAAAATATTCAGTTAACTATTTTAAATATTTGATTTTTGACGTAATTACGTTGAAAAATTTATAATTATTAATTTTCCCTCATAATTGATACTCCCTCTCTCTGAACGTATTAAACTTTAAATAATTAATTATATTAGTATTTAAACAAATAATTTTAAAATAGTGTTTGAAATTGGATAAAATGTACAGAAAAATAAACATGAATCATATTAACTAATTTCTCTCTTATTATGTTAAATACCTATTTAATTAAATTTTTTTTATATATGTTTAAAGTATTATCTTGGCCAACTTATGTATTTATTTTTTTTGAAAAATAAAAAATAATTAATTTTACATAACTAAAAATAAAATAGGTATAAAAAAGTAGAAAAATGCACCATTTTTTTATATTTTAAATGATTTTATATAACATTTATGTTTAAATAAAAGTATTTTGATCTAATAGATGTGACTTAATTGTTAACTAACGACTTGGGTGGGTGTAAATGAAATATTTAAAGTAAAAAAAAAATGTGTTTTGTGATCATTGATTTTATGAGAGGTTTGTATAAATTTTTTAAATAGAAAGAATGTATTTAAAATTTAAATAAAATAGAGAACAATTAATATATTTTACTCTTATTTTTCATTTGGTTCCAAGGGAGGAAAAAAGAAAATTTTGCTCTTTTTTTTTGTTTGGGTGAAAAAAAAAAATTTCTCTTCATTTTTCCAAATCTCCCTGCCCCCAAATCGGGGGTTGAGGAGAGGAGGGGTATTATTTTATCATATTATGATTAATTTACTCATATTATAGTATTGTGATCCAAAAATCTCTCTCTTGGATGCTAGTCGTTGTGCCTGATCTTGCCGCCCCTCTCTCCCTAGCCTGCGCCGCCGTCCCTCTCTTCCCCAAGTTGTGCCGTTATCTCTGCTCCCTCCATTCAAATCATTGTATCGTCTACATCAAAGTTCTTCATAGCACTGCTCTTGCTATTTCATCTCTGCCAACTCGTGCCGTTGATCCTCTACCCCAGCTCGCTCCGCTATTGCTTCTCCCTCCATTCAAATCATTGTCTGCATCATTATCCCTCTTTTCAGATTATCATTTGCCATCACTACCCCCTTACCCTTGTTTTGATCGTCATCCAAAGTCCAAATCTTTTCAGGTCGCAAGCGTTTTGTTCTTAGCTAATATTTTATTGTATTATATAATTTTATTTTTTTAATATAAATATTTGATCTTTCTTTTTTTTAAAAAATGAGTGTTGCCTGTTGCAATAAATATGGGCATCTCCAAAAAAAAAAATTGCATGGGTATTTTTGTTAAATTATGCTTACATCATTATGTTGTTTAAAGTTTACATATATATATTTTATTAAATATTCATAAAAAATAGGGAACAAGTTAATAAAATAGGGTTATAGTTGTCTATATATAATTATTTATTGATTTGCCCTCCCCTTCATTCCTCAACCAAAAAAAGACATTAAAATCCCTCCCCTTTCCTCCCATCTAACCAAAAAGAATGTTAAAATAATTAATGGAATGTATTTATAAATTTAAGTAAAATTGACTGTAAATTTAAATAATATTACTTGTGAATCAATAAAAAGTCAATTGTGAAAGAATAAGTAATTTTATAAATTTATGTTTCATCATTTATGAATTTGAAAATATTTACTTGTGAATTTTTAAAAAATTAATAGTCAATTTATGAAAATTTAGTTTAAACAAATAGATAGTATTGTTAATTTATGCATTGATGCAAGAGCATTTGATTGTGAATAGATATTTAAAAATATGAGGAAATCCTTAAATCATTAATTTAAAATAAAATTATTTATACTCATTCACAACTAACATTATATATATTCACAAATGAATTCATAATCAACTTTTTTTTAAATTCATGAAAAGAAATATTTTAATTGCAAATAAAAATTATAGTTCTTTTCTATCATTTCAATATTTTAAAGTCTCCAAATGTTACTAATATCTTTATATGGTCCTTAATTGTCATTTCCATACCAAACAAAGGCTCACAGATTAATTTTGGGTTTTATAAAAAAGTTAGAAAAATTGATCTATGGATCATTTTGGTTTTCATCGGTTTTAAATTAGGTCCGTGTAATTCTAGAATTTTAATTCTTAAGGATTAACATAATCTTAATTAATAATTAATAATTAAGATTTTTGACTTTATAGCATACAAAAGGTTCGCAAACCATTGAATTAATTCAATTAGATGTAAAAATAATATTAAAATGCTTTGACAATATAGTAAAAAAAATCAAGACCATGAACTAATTTTAATCATTTTTTAATTTACAAGATTTAATTAAAGATATCTTACAAATGAACAAATCATATATAATAAATAGGCTTACATACTTCATATCGTTTAGAGCTTCTTAATTTTATATCCCTGTCCTCACAGTTTGGATCATATTTCTCTTTATTAATAAAAATATTGTCGTTCGTTCAAAAAAAAAATATTGTCGTATATCCATGTTTTATTTTTGTTCTCTCTAAATTTTTTATAAATCTAAAATCTTATTTTGCCAAAAAAAAATCTAAAATTTTAGAAGATATTATTATCTAAGAATTATAACCTTTTCAAAATAAATTTTATTTTATTCTGTTTGTTCTCTCCATCCTTCCGTTGATCTCTTTCAAGACCTATTTGGTTTCTAGAAGGCTTATTAGGTCTAACGTTAGACATGGTAACCTGTTTATAAAATTCTGGTTGCTCAAAATACATTATTTCAACTTCCGAACTAATCAAATTCAACATTTGCATAATTTATTTCAAACAACTTGATTTGAGTAATTTGTAAACTCAACTTATTAGATTAATGTATCAAGAAAAACAATTCCGTAAAGTCAATTAACGTTCCTAAAAAGTAAAACATTTAAAACAATGTATCTACACTCACGGAGAGCAATGTCCTAAAAAATTGACTATTAATCAAAAAGATTATGTTAACTTGTTAATATAATAATTAAACAAAAATAATATTTATACTATATGTATATATCTATATATATAAACTTCATCCATGTTTATAACAGGTCTCAAACTCAAACAAGGGAGGGGGTTGTATTAGACCCTCAGCAATCAATGTAAGACTTCGTTTAATCTCATATGAATATGGACAATAGATATTTTTGTGAGAGAGACAAAGGGAACAAAATACTTATGAAAGTTGCTGAATAAAAACACAAATAATTATTTTGAAAATGCCAAAGAATATTGTTATATGTAAAACTTAATCATATCAACTTAAAGCATAAAGAACAACAATTGAACATTGAAAATTGAATTGAATCCAACTTTATTTCATTAAAATATAAAATTACAAGTGACCCCTCTTCTACAATTAAACAAGTCAATTGACACTGCGGTTAATAAATAACACAAGTCAAACCAATAGCTTATTTATCATTATACAATAACATGTTCTTCCATATCTTAATAACATAAACTATATTACACTAAAATAATATAGAACCTTCTTCTAGTTCCTCACATGATACAAATGCTATCGTTGCTATTTTAACTTTACCAAAGCTTTTTTGATTTGTCACTCTTTCACCACATGTCTTTAGATGGATGCTCTAATCGCAATCTAATTTGTTTGATGATGAACAACTGACACACAAGCCAAGATTTTCCCAAAAAACAATGAAGGATAAGAATTAACAAGCTTTTATCAACGTCTTTGGAATGAGACCAGCGATAATTTTCCCATATCTAGAGGCATTTCACCAATCAACCCATTAAATAAGATAGCAAAAAATATGAACATGCAAAGCTAATAGAAAATGTTCACCCAAACAGAAAAAATTGAATAAATTGAAAGACTCCCAACAACCTAAAGTGGTAGATGAATTAAGTTGATGTTAAAAGAGAAAAATCCAAACTAAAAGCATTATTACACAATCTAATACGTTTACTACAAAATT